AGTCATCAGACATTCCACAGTTTCTCCTCTAAACTCTCATAGTTTCTCCTCCCATTTTAAGTCCAACTACTCTTTTTATCCACAGCCTCCCTCTCTCACTGCAGAACCCTGAGCCCTTCCCTGTCTTTACTTCAATAGCCAGCGTAAGTCAGTATAATGAGGTACGGGGACAAACATAGTCCACCAGAGTTGCCATCTGCACCGGAGTAATGGGAGGTGTGGCAGTGAAATTTGCAGCCTTCCAACAGTCAGGCTTCCCAGTTTCTCAGTGAAGTTTGTGCAGACAGTAGTATTTGGCATTCTCTTTCATCCTGCTACGCTAAACGGACTTACATTTACGTGTCTCATGTTCCCAACAGAGAAGTTGTGTCTGTAAAGCTGACATACCCTTTGCCTTACATAATATCCCACTTGTGAATTTGCCTTAGATTACTGAGGGAAATAAATATGTTTCGTGATACTCACCAGACGCCTAGTATTGAGTCATATGTAGGCCTTTTGAGGTCGGGTGTGTGTGTGTGTGCGTGCACATGTGGGTGCATGTGCATGTAGAATGGGGTTGGAGAGTGGTCCCAACTTACTCTAGAATGTGTTTTAATACATTTTTTTAAATTTCTTTATATTTCTACAATTAAAGTTGTAAAAATGTAAACTTAAGCTTACTTAAGAATAACTCCAACTCTGAAATTCCAAATATCAGTGCTCTGTTTCAGTTGTATCAATTCAATTATTTTGAATTTGGCTAAGCCTCCACCTCTATAGAGTGTGGATTTCAATTATTATTCCCTCTATGCCTCCTTTTACCGAAGATAATTAATATTTGACCCTTTTTGACAGTTAATAAAATAGACTTAATATCTGATCCTGAGAAAAATTCTTTACAAACCACCCTGATCTGATGGCTTCATTGTGTAAACATTCCATCAAAAATGAACTTGAGAAAATTTCAACAGTAGCTAACTGATCATTATATAAGGAACAATAAAAAGGTCCCTGTGCTAACTGGATTTAGAGATATATTACATATCAGGTAATGTAAAAGATAACCATTTCATGCCTTATATTATGAATTTTTAGTATAAAACAAGGTATATTTTCCATATTAAATCCCCATTACAAGAGTTTCTCAACCTCAGCACTATTAATATTTTCGGATGGATAATTCTTTGTTGCAAGGAGCTGTCTTGTGTATTTTAGGACTTTTAGCAGCATCCTTGTCCTCTATTTATTATGCCAGTAACACCTCCTGGGTTGTGACAGCTAAAAATGTATCCAGCCATTACCAAATGTCTGTTGGGAGGGGGAGAACACAATCAACTGTATTTAAGAACCACTGATACATGGGACTTCGAGAACTGCCATTCAAATATTTGTTATCTCTTCATGTATTCCCAGAAATTTTATCTTGATACAATAAAACAAATCAGGAAATGCATAGCCCCTCACACAAAATACTGAACTATTGATGTAGAACAATGAAAACTTTTCTTTCTTTCTTTTTTTTTTTTTACTTACAAAAATGGGGGGGGGCAGCTTTTTCCTATCTTCAATACTTAAAGTTTGAACAAAATCATATTGTGATGAAAACTTATGCTTTATCTCTTATCTGAATTTTTATTGTTGTTGGTAATTATAGCATTCTGCAGCAATTTTCTTTAAAGTACCAAGGTATTGGGGCGCCTGGGTGGCTCAGTCGTTAAGCGTCTGCCTTTGGCTCGGGTCATGATCCCAGGGTCCTGGGATCGAGCCCCGCATCGGGCTCCCTGCCCAGCGGGGAGCCTGCTTCTCCCTCTCCCACCCCCCCTGCTTGTGTTCCCTCTCTCGCTGTCTCTCTCTGTCAAAGAAATAAATAAATAAAATCTTTAAAAAAATAAATAAATAAAGTACCAAGGTATTTTGGAAGTTCCTAGTGCCGAAGAGGGTTGCACAGTGTCTTATGCCCAGGGGTTCCAAGTAACTTTTTTCACCAGGGCACCTGGTCAAGAGGTGACCATGCAACTCAGACATAGACTGATTTCAGGAACTCTTTGGGGGGCTCTGTTGCTATCGGAACCTCCATTCCAGCACCCACAACTTCTCTCATAATTACATTGACCCAGAACATAAAAGATGTATGTTTCCATTCATGGGAGATCTTTACGTCCTCAGAACAAGTTACTCCAGTCCTTTTGGAGTGGCACCTCCATCAGCAGAGAAATCCAGCTCTTTTGAGGAGCACTGAGTGCATGTCCTGTGGGCCAGGTAATGGGGATTCGAAGATGAATGGGATGTAGTCCTCACCCTCAAGGAGCCTTCAGTCTAGTGTAAACAATGTTTAAGATCTCTGCCGGTGTATGAAACACTAGTAATAGTTAACATTACAGCAGGCTGTAATGTTTTTTTCTGCTTAAAGACTGTCACAGTAACACGAGGAGTAATGTTTTCCCTAAAATGGATGATCAGCCCACAGTGAGAAGTATGAATGCTTGCATTGTTTTGTAGGGCTCTGAATCTGAAGAACTTTGCAAAGGATTTCAATAGACTCCCTCACTCATTCTTCAGACTCATTTATCCATTGGTATTAGAGTTCTTTGCAATCTGCTTTGCAAACAGATATTGCGGGACATCCATGCAAAAATAACCACCTTGAAAAAGAGGCATTGAATCAGAACCAGCTGGATTTGCTTATATTCCCCTAAAAGTTGGTATTCTTTTACACAACAATAATTTGTGTAAAGCCAACAGGCAAGTGTACAATCTTCCGCTTGCCACTTTAGCCACCCCAGAGTACATTTATCTCGTTTCCCAGTGGCCTGGCATATCTTACATGCAATTGTGCCTTCATGAAGTGTGAGTGATAGCTCTTAACATATGGAATGTCCAGAATCCTGATGAAACATTAATTGGGACGTGAAAAGTCCATAAAAACCGGGACTCTTTTTATGCACTGAGAAGTGAAGGCATAGATTAGGGACCTGGGACTTTATGATGCAGAAAAACGGATTCTTCACATCAAATGAAAAAAGCAGTAGCATTAAATGATTTATGACACAGCCATTTTATTTCCTATTAAAATTGTGTGTTGTAATGAAACCACTTTAAATCTGTTCAGAGCTTTGTGGAATTTTAAAATTCAGCCAGCTGTCCATGGTCTCTGGTCCTTGAGAAGCCAGGGAGAGAACTGTGGGAGCCTGATGTGGTGTGGGATAGAGCCAGCTCTGACGCCCACCACATGCATTTCTTTCTTGTGTGGGGGGGTCCACTTGATGACCTTGGACTGCTTGGCTACCCCTAGTGTGATGGCGCCAAATCACCACGTGCTGTATCTGAGGTCACGTGGAGCTTAGGAATTTTGGGTAGAACTGCCACATTCATGGCCCAGAGGAGCAGATATAGATGCTTCAAGCTAGTCTTTTTTCAAGTCTTTGAATAGCAATTCCCACTAAGAAACATATTGCAATCCAATATACATTTATATACGTATTTATTTGTTTATATATACATTTATATGTAGACACGTATATGCGTATATGTATGTACTTTCTACATTATAAATATGATCGTCATGAAGACAAAAGTTTAATGAAATGTTGCTCATCCTTATTACTTGAGTTGTACATAACCATTTTCATCTCTATTTCAATTTTTAAAATTCTGTTTATAGCTACTAAATTAATTTCATAGCCCACAGATTGAAAAGCATTGGCCTAAGTGATCTGCCCATATCTAGCAGTAGATAACCATCGTATCACTTTAAGCAGGGGCAAATGAATGAAGTGGTGCTATATTTTGACCTACCATTTGATGCAGAATGACATTATGAATCCCGTGATTCGATTGGTACATCTAGTTTGCTACAGATAAGGCCTTTCTTTAAATTTCATTTGCTAAGGTCACTGCCAATACTTCTTTATCACATCAAAGGCTCTGAGGAAATCAGTTATTGCTAACTGCATAAATACATGTTTTACTTCTTGACATGAAATGTCAATAGCAATATACCTTACGGAACTCTGAACATAAAGGAATCGGCACATATTTTTAAAACTGTATTGCTAAGTGTTTTCTCTGTAATTTGTTTGTGTATATTGTTGTATATCTTTCAAAAAATATTTAAGAATTCATATACTGTTTGGAATGTTGGTAAGTAATGTTTTCTCATTCTATCTTACTTTCTGAGACAGTGTTTTTTAAAAATTGGGGGTCAAGACCTGTTTGAAATTTGGATGAGATCTAGGGCCCATCTGCCTAGAATGAACAAAATATTTATTCCATAGACCCTCACTGGAGAACCCTTAACCTGAATGGAAGTCACTGTTCATGTCAACATCCCTTATAGTTACCCTACTGGAAGGAAGCATTGTACCCCGTTCTATTGGTATGGAAACCAGCAGCACCTTATTTGATTCTACCAGTGCGCATACACATGTACTGAGGTAGCAATGAGATCTACTGGGTTGAGACCAGAGCAGTCCAGGAAGCAACCCCATTGGGCCTGTGTCCATCAGCACAACAGCCTGACTGGGCTGCAGGACCGGCTGCTGCAGGGTAACAGGGAGTAAGTCCAGCTGCGGACAGCCTCCCAGAAATGTTTGAAGCTCTTTCCAAAGTCACCATGTCGTGGGTAGGACATATCCTAGTCTCTCTTTTTAAAAATGTGTTCATTAAAATATTTACTAGATTAGACCCAATAGTGTAATTTTTGCAAATACGTAGAACATTCAACCCTGAGCGGAAAGCCCCTCAGATTCTTATGCAAGGTTAAGATCTCTAAACCCCATGACTAGGGCACCACTGCCACCTTTTGGTAACATCCCTTAATTGCAGGTTCTGGAGGGATAATAAACCTATATTAAGCGGATTATAATATTAAAGTTCTAAAATGATAGAAAATATACATCTCTGGATACGCTGGGATAGAGAGAGAGCATGTGTTGTTAGAGCTTGCTTTGGTTCTGCCCTTTGCAGCTCCCATAGCTGTCCTGGCTCTGATTTCAGATATTCTCTGTCCCTCTTGGCAGGATCGGAGGAGCTATTCCCACGGTGTTCTCCTACTTTGCTGAAGTGCTGGCCCGAGAGAAGCGGGGGGAGCATCTGAGCTGGCTCTGCATGTTCTGGATGGTTGGTGGCATCTACGCCTCTGCCATGGCCTGGGCCATCATCCCGTATTATGGTAAGAGGCTGGCCTGACGCGGGCCGGCAGCCATCTTATTTTACTTCAGCCTCCATTCTGTCCCTTTCCTGTCTTGTAAATGCTGGTTTGAGAATGACACTGGCGTGATCAAGTTTTTCCCTTTTGTAATATCTAGGATTTTCCCTCTAGTACAGAGAACCAGTGGTCCTGTGGGAATATTGTTGCCTTTTGCTGTTTTTCAAGTGATCACTTTCATTGGCTTTCTGTGTGCTATCAACTCTGGGGTCCCCACCCAAATGGACATGAGAGGAGACACAGGTCATAATCAGCATATAAGGCAACAGGACTTACTGTTGTTTGGGGGACTGTCATACACATCAGGCACACACAAGTGCCTTTATTCATCCCCTCTGGGTCCAGTCCAAAGCTCAACCCCATGTCAGCCCCGCCTCTGCTGGCAGCTCAGAATCAGGATGAGAGCAGGAAGACTCCTGTCTTGTCATGGACCATCTGTTTGCGGAGCTTAAGAGGTGACTCGACTGTCCTTGCTGCCCGGATCCCTCCACAGTTTCTTCTAAGCACTTGCTGTTCCTGCCATCTCTGAACACTTAAAGGTCTCCTGTTTCTGGGCAGTAAGCATTGTCCTGCTTAGAAGCCAGAAACTTCCAGGTGCTTCACCCACAAACAGTGAAATGCAGGGAGAGGTTCAGAGAATCCAGGAACCAAATTCAATATATAAGGCAAAGGGGAGGGGAGGTGTTCTGATTGTGTGTGTCTGTGTGAGAGAGAGAGAGAGAGAGAGAGCAAACATGTTAAAGTTTACAAATTATCAATATTGTGTAAATTAAAATCACATGTGGACTTTAAAAACTCACTCTTTGTTCAACCTAAAATCTAATTGATCATTGGGTAAAAAATTAGATTTCAAAAATTCACTTTTGGATCATTTTCTTTTTTTCCTGCTTTTGTTTTATAACAGAGCGATTTTCACTATAAAACCTAGTTCTGTTAGGGAACAACAGTGGGTAAATTTGATTCATTTATGAAATCAAAGACAAGATGTAGACTTTAGTATTCAAATGCACTGTAGTTTGTTTTATCGTACTGAGTTACAAAATTCATGTTTGTCACACTCTTTCTTTTAATAAACCTAAAAAGTTACATGCAAATCAAAATTGTATATAACAATAACAAGGAAGACATAAGGAATTGGTTACTTGGCCTAAAGAGAACTTTTCTTTGCCAAACACTTAAGTTGAGTGTGGCATGCCAAGCTCAGGTGATGGGTTTTCCTTTTTTAAACTCTGGTCAGTTCAGGGCCAGAGATACCCTCACATGGGCAGTTACTCATGTCCACCCTAAGGCTTGTCTTCTCCCACCACCCAAGGAATTACAGGTGATTCTCCTTCTTTGTCCGGGCCCTGACAACCTCAGCCACCCTCAGAACTTGCTCTGTGTAGGCGGGCATCTAGCTGCCGCCCCACCTAGCTGGCTGTTTTGAATGGAAAAGCCACTCAGCTGCCATGTAAAGAATTGCTTCAGGGCGCCTGGGTGGCTCAGTCGGTGAAGCTTCTGCCTTTGGCTCAGGTCATGATCCCAGGGTCCTGGGATCGAGCCCCGCATCAGAATCCTTGCTCAGCCGGGAGTCTGCTTCTCCCTCCCCCTCTGTCCCTCCCCCTCTTCTCTCTCTCTCTCTCTCTGAAATAAATAAATAAAATCTTAAAAAAAAAAAAAAAAAGAATTGCTTCTTAAGAACTCTGTGTAAGGGGAAAAAAAGGAGATGCTGCGGTTGCAGCCCCACTGGCCAGCTCTGTTACTGCTGACAGCTTTACTCGGCAGCTGGATTCCTTCCGAGGCCAGCCTGTGTCTCAGCCTCTGACGGCAGCACAGCTCCTTGGCTCCGGGGTTTTTGCTGTCTCCTCCCTGGTCCCCTTCCCATCCTGTGTCAGGATTCCTCCTGCTGTTCTCCCTAAGCTCGTTAACTCAGACTGGCTTCTGCAGTCTGCACATTTCCACCAGGCCTGGGCATGATTGCTTTTGTTTATGTTTTTGTTTTTTTCTCACTAGGTATTTAGTTCCTCAGACTCCTGCCTTTCACACATCCCTACCCTCAAGCTATGGCAGGCTCCAGATTTTGCCCCCGGACTTGCCAACCATCAGCCAGTGGCTGACCCACAAAGAATGAGTGTAATCTCACCTTCATTTTTCTCAAGCACACATAAGATATTCTTTTTTATGGCAAAAAGGGCTGCCTAGTCCATACATAACTGGAAAGAGCTGAGGCTGTGAATCATAAACAATTCATAAAAAGTTACCAAAAAACCAGTGACAATATAACAAAATTAAGTGTATCTGAGGCTGACATTAATTTCTATGTTAAAGGAACCTTGAGAAATAATGACCTGGTTAAGAAATCAGTAACAGAATATTAAAACCTTACACCCATGCCTCATTGAAGGCTTTGCATGGCCAGAAATGTGGCAAAAGCAACAATTAATGCAAACAAGCCTGTCCATATATTAAAATCAACAGGGGAGACTTTTAAATACCCTTGCTGAGTTCGTTGTTATGCTCTCGCAACTTGAAGAGTTTTAATTATTTCAGAAGAAAAGCACTTAGTTTTAAAAATCCTGTGTTGAGGCTTCTAGGGGATGATGATGTTTTGTATCTTGGTGTGGGGGAGGGTATATTCATTTATAAAAATGCATTAAGCTGGATACTTAAGATTTGCGTACGTCACTATATGGATGTTACACTTTTTTTTTTAATAAATACTTTTTCATAAAAGTTTACCACTTCCATTACCCTCTGAAAATATCCATGCTTGGGTCCTACCCCAGATCAGTCGAATCTGATCATTTGGGTTGGGGACTCTGCATGGATGGTTTTTAAAGCCATTTAAAGCTGGCTCTCTGCAGCCAGTTTTGAGACTCTTCAGCTTCCTACCTCTCCCAGGGGGTGACCTGGGAAGCCCCTGGAACTTCATCATGTATGTACAGGGAGGGCTGTAAATGGGAGCAAAGAGAAGAGTGAGCCTGACCGGCACGGTTGACTTATTCAGTGCGTGTTTAGGTTTCCATATTGTTGGTTTCATCCAGGCTAAAGGGCTTTCCGGCTCACGTGGCTTAGAATCACTTACAAAGTAACTTTGACATCTTGCTCTGTCTTCTTCTCAACACCGCATCTTTTTACTTTACTTAAAACAGACAAGAGCTGTTAAGTCCATCCACTTTCCCTGCAGTCTCTGAGAAAACGAAAAGGTGTCCCCTTTCCCTCTGAAATTCTGCATTGTGTAAATGATGTCACAGCCCATAGAAAAATAAGAGTATGTGGGTCCTGGCCCCCATCCTCTTTCATTCAGGAGACCTCTGAGCACCACCACCTGGATAGCATATGGAGTTTTCCCCCAGCAGGAGAGGAATTTGGGAGCATCATAAAGTGACTCAGAGCCAGGGACTGGCCCTCCTCACACCGTGAACAGGATTTGTGCTAGCGGGGAAGAATCAAAAACTGGCGTCTGCATGACAAGTGATGCCGATGAGAAGGTATTTGTGGTGTTGCCTTTGTGGTGGCAGAAGAGTCAGGGCACAGAGCCCGGAGCCTGGTATCGAGAGACCAGAGACTTGCCTTCCGACTCCAGACAAACCTCGTACGCAAAGAGACTGTGAGTGGTCACTAAGGATGGGAAAGGAAATCTGGAAGGAGTCTTACAAAGTCAGACAAGGCCAGAAGGGGGTTTGGACTGCTGCAAGGGCTCCTGAGTTAACATGTGGGCTGTGGCCGGGGTCTGCTGATGGACAGAGGGATCCACCCAGCCCGCCGGGGCCTCGTCCCTGGACCAGCATCGGATCATGATGGTGCTTTGCCTTCACGCCATTGCTGGCGGGGTTGAAGATTTCCCCGCAGGCAGTCACCAACATGTGAAGGTTCCCAACAGAAAATTACCTCGCCCACTCTGACACGGCCTTAGGAGGCAGAGTGTTTGAATGTCATCACCCTTCCTGCCGGGCACCTCCCCTGGGACCAGTTCCTTTCAGCTTCTGGGATCCCTGTGAGAGGAGAGAGAGCACAGGGATGACGGTTTTCCTTCGGCCTCCCTCCCCTCAGTAATCAGGACACTGCAGCATTTAATGGAAGCCCCTGGGCCTCAGAGGAAAATGGGACAGGTTGCTGACTCACAGCACTTTCCCTCTTTGGCTGAGAGCCTGCACGTTGGCCCAGGCTTTGGAGTTGCCCTGGGATTGCAGCACTGTCTGCTCCATTAAACCCTCCAACGCCATTTTCTCTTTTCAATTCGCGTGCACATCAGATGAGGTTTGTGCCCTGCTGAGGTGCACCACAGTGTGCAGCAAGGACATTCAATTAGCTAAGTGGGAAGCTTCTTGGTTCAGCACAAAATGCCTCAGCTCTTAAAGCCAGAGCACATGGGGCTGCCCTCTGCACTGGAGCCGCCCCACAGCCTCCATCTCCCCCGCCCTTCACTGCAGACTTTCCAGGGCCAAGCTGGGGGCACCCATAAAGCCCAGGCCCACCCCTAGCTCCCCCGCCAGCCACAGCACAAGGTCTGGGCTTAAAACCTCACATATTCCTGAGGTTTCGACGACCAAGATGTCCCTACTTCCTTAGCTCCGAGATGTGTGAAGCTAATACATTTCTTCTCCCTAATGATGAAACTGGGTGAAGGGAGAGTGGTATAGTCGAATGGCTGTCTGGTTGAAGAAGGAAATAGGCAGGTTTTGTTCACAGGCGGAAAAGCACTGCGGCCAAGGGAGGGGGTGGGGGGAGTGAGTGCTGATCTTGAGTCTCCGCTGCACTGCTTCTGGGTGTGAGCTTTGTCAAGCTTTTCAGTCTCCTCCCATCCCGTTTTCTGCGTCGTGGTGGGGGTTAAGCATGACAGTCATGTTAGAACACCCAGGGCATGACTAGTGCTCAAAAAACGGTAGCTCTTACTGCTGTCAGGTTCATCTACATCAGATACCCAGACTCCATCAGCGCAGTCCAGCGCGAGCTCAGAGCTACAGGAAAAGAGGGAGAATGAG